CAATTGCTACTGATTTTTGATTTCTAACTGTAGTATTTATAGTAAGTTCAAGATGTTTGATACCTTGCCATGCAGAAAAAAATGACTAGTCAAATAAGTAGGACATTGTTTGCCAGCAAAAACAGACGTTTCAGGTTAATACTGTAAGAAGTTATTGTATCATTGGTAAGCTACTTACACCTGGTGTTAAATCAGCATCTGTAGCTAAAACAGTCAATGCCAATTCACCAATACCACTTGAGATGGGTAATGTTCTCGTATATGGAGTACGTTGGAACTGTGGTGGACCGCTATTATGATTCACTCTTATTTCAACACGAGTTGTATCTGTTTTAGCATCTGTACGATCATCTGTTACTTGTACATTGAACTACAATAGCAGATTATGAATATGATAGTTGAATGTAATCAAACTTTTGTCCCTTCTGATGGTCAATGACTATACTTGCCAGTCATACATCATATTAAAACTTCAAAGGCTTAGCAGTGTGTTTGCATAAAGAAAACTGATAAATACTGTAGTTGGAATAGGTAGGCAGGTAATCTAGACATGGTTTCTTACTTACTGAAAATAATGTTTCCGTGGTTGTTTTTAAATCACCAACAATAATGATAGAACCAGTTGCTGGATTCACATAGAAATACTCTTTCTCAGGACCACTGCCAGAATGGATGTATCTTAATTTATCCTATATAAATAAAAACATATTTTTATTGTATCATTGACAAACAAAGGAGAGGGTAATAAGTAAAGTCTCTTTATTGTTCAAGGTCTCTATACTGGCATGTAATACCTAACAATCTTTATGAGTAGGCCTACAAATTTTTGCAAAGATTTTTTTACCTCGACCAGGTATAGAAAGGTCACATGATTTACAAGAATTCCATTAGTAAGACAACAATCAAATATCAGGCAAATTGCAAAATACATAAAAATTTATAGTCCAATGAGCAAGAATATAATATTAAGTATTAAATAACTCCTTATGTTCACTTACTAAATCAGAATCTGTTGCTTGCAGTTGTAATATACTCTTTCCAACTGCTTCAGAATCTGGTATGGTGATTGTGTATGGATTTTGGCCAAATGCTGGTTTACCAAGATTCCGATTGACGTTGATAGTTAATTCTCCAGTAACTTTATTATTGGGCCAGGCATCATCATAGGCTTCAACAATACACTGAAATAAATATAGATATATACTCATATTGATCATATACTACACACATAAAACTCTCCACAGTGACTTTTCTATTATTATAGAACCTTTTTACAGTTCTCTTGCAACATTCCATATTTGGAAATTGAATAAAATCCTAAACACATTTACACATACAAAATCATATCTAACTGTAATTCAAACCAACTTACTTTATAAGAAGTTAACTGTTGACTATCTGATTTTGGACTAACTCGAACACTAATTTGTCCACTCGTTTCATCAATTTGGAAGAAAACACCACATGGGAATTCCCCATTGAGCTTATATTTCATTGCACCCTGAAGAAAAAGCAATAATTTTTAATATCTGATAACCCATGTAGAGTTATGTGCCCATGGTTACAGATGAAAATGGTTGCCATGCAGTGGTGTTTCTAGGGCACATGAGGTGAGGGTTGCTGAGCAGGGGTCACAAACTTTTAGTGGGCCACATTGTCAGGTAATATCTGTTAACAGAAATTACCAATTAATAAAAGACTGCCTTATTTACCTGTCGATCATCATCTCTAGCAGTTACCACGTATACAGGGAAACCATTACTTTCTGTTTCATTGATAGTCACAGATGTTGGCAGTTGTGGCAATGTAGGATTTGCAACGTCACGTTTAACATTCACAATTAATGTACCAACACCAACTTGTGCTGGGGTACCATCATCAGTAGCTCTCATGTTAATCTGAACACAAGGAAAAGATGTTTCATGTATAATTTCATTAACAAAATGAGAACATTTCAAGCAGTTCATTGCAAATACCATTATACATTGTGAAAAAGATTAACTACAGGTGGCAAAATAACATTAACAAAAGGGAAATATTTTCAAATTTCATCTCGAAAAAATGAAAAATTTAAACCCCAAGGCAAGATAATATGCTTGTAAAATTAGAATGTCAATAAAAATACTGAACTTACTGTGTATTGTAGAGTATTATCTACATCATTCGACAAAGGTTGTTTTAAGGTAACCACACATGTCACAGGATCTATCTTGAAAAATTCCTGGCTCTTTCCAGTACCAGTAATTGAGCAACGTACATTCCTCTGTAAATTAATAAATATCATTGTGATCTAAAAAATCTTATGCTCATGATTTGTCTTTTCTGATTTATTGATAAAAAGCAATGAGTTTCTATGAATCATAGGGTAAGGGTCCACAGGGGGTTGGGTTTGGGTGAAAAGACATTCGACATGAACAATATTTGTCAATTCAAAATTAACTTACGCTATCAGGATCTGTAACATTGACAGAATATGACCAGAAGTTAGGATTAGTAGCTTCTGGTAAATCAATAGTGTCTGTATTTGGTGCAAAAACTGGACCACCTGTATTACGGGTTACTTTAATCTCAACTAATGTTTCACCAGTTAATGATGGTCGTCCAGTATCTCTCGCCAAAACTCGTAACTACAATAGTGTTTCATTAAATATAAAAACATCATAATTCCACAATATATCAACAGATAAAATTTATATATTGTTTCATTAACAGATAGCATGTCATAGAAATAACAGTTGAATAACCACAACAATGGCTTCTATATACATTACCTTATAGGTAAGTAATTTCTGAAAAATGAGGTTGAAAATTTGAAAAATAAAAAACAAACCTGATAAGTATTGAGACGATCTGGATCTTCAGTTACTTTTTGTGAGATTGTAATTTCGCCAGACGTATTATTGATCTGGAAGAAGCTAGGAGCTGGATAGTTTCCATCAATAGAATATTCTATTCGGCCCTGTAATGTACAAGTTTTGCTTGGTAAAATATTTTCTAAAGTCAATCTCAGCAAATTAAACAGTCAGACCATTAGAACAAACATAAGACATTTAATGTAGAAATGCAGATGTTGTTATCAGACTGCAGGTAGGTAATAATTTGATTAATCATAGTCCACTGCACAGATGGGCTTCATACAGTTTCCTGGCATTAAACTGGTCAGATGTTCCAAGGAACATAAAGAGTCACAGTCAATATATGGTTGTAGTGCTGAAAACATGTGACTGTTCAAGTGATATGTACTACAAAAATGTAGACGAAACAACCTTGTCCAAGAGGGTTGACAGAGTTCTTTTAACCATATCATACTTACAAGAAGTGGAAATTTAGTAGCTCTAACATTGGCAACAACTTTACCAACAGGATCTTGTTCATTAATATTTGCTGGATATTTGGTGAGATCAAATCTTGGAGCAGCTTGTCTGTCAACATTGACGATAAAATTTACAGTATTTTCTTTAGCAGGATCACCATTATCTGATACTCGAACTGTACACTGTTAAAATGGAAAAAAAATAGCATAAAAAAAAATTAATATGTTGTTCATCCAATTAATCTTGTTGGCTGCACATATCTGCTTTATTTTGGACATTATAGTTGAATTATGTAGTTATGGATAATGAAACTTACAGTGTATGAAGATTCTGTAAATGCTCTAAGATCTTGTCTGATGTAAACCACTCCAGTATCCGAGGTAATGAAGAAGAGATTTTGACAATTATTATTGTTTAGAAGTGTGTATGTCAACCGATCCTGGAATGAAAATAATGTGTCTATAATTTACAAATTATATACGTTTGTAACCATTTTTCAGTTGTAGGGTCTACCATTCAAAGGCTTTTACAAAACTCTGAAGAAAGCTTAATACTAAGAATTTTGGTCAAAAGGTTTGACCAAAGCAACAGCTAGTAGACAGGATCATCAAAAAATCTTTCCTTTAACCATTGACAAAGAGTTAAAATCTATTTGTGTCTTAAATTTGGCGGTAAGGTCCACAGAAAATAGCAATTATGTTCATTTAACTAAATATCAGAAGTTAACAATACCTGATCTGCATCAGTGGCATTAATAGATAGAACTGGTACACTAGTCTTATGGTTATCATTTATAGTAGCATTATATGGTGCACCAATAAATACAGGACCATTGAGGTTTCTTTCAACATTGATAACAAGATCATAGGTATTCGTCTTTGTTGGATAGTTAACATCATAAACTTCAACACTTAGCTATAATAGAGAAAATATTACTTTCATTTTCTCAAGAAAATATATTTACATTATTATGGTACTGTGGATTTCATTATATTCCAGCAACGATATTGTGTACATCTGGGTTCCATTCAGAAAAAACAAAAGGAGCCAATTTCACTTTAAGGTAGAATAAATGGTAATTGAAATAATACAAGCTAGTGTTTTATTGTTTTATTACTTGCACTACCTGAATATAAAGTGGACTGCTTATGATTAAGTTTTAATCGACTATACTTATCAATATACTTATTAATTAGTTTACCATTATATACTTCTACTAAAACTTATATACATACCACATAGCGTTTCAGATTACCAGTTCGCAGATCTCTAGTACCTGTAACTTGTCCTGTTGTTTCATTGATAGTGAAGAAAAATGGTGTTGGTGGTTGGCCAATTATTCTGTATCGAACATCGTTCTAAAATATTCATAAAATTGATACAACCCTACAGTATATACATATAATATTTCTATTCTCACTATTAAGAAGCACCACTAGTTTACACTTTGCTTGCAGGCCATCAGTCAACTCTTGACTAAACTTGAGTATTGTGTATCTGAAACCTCATGCCAACAGTATGACACAAGCTGTTGGTCTCAGACATCTAGTCAGCCTACAGGTTAGAACATAACATATTTAATTTTTCAACTCAAATGAAAGTATAATAATTCAGATGAGCAGGTTGCATTAGTTCCAACAAGAAGGGCATAATCTTATCTTTTTACTTTAACATTTTCCTAAAAATCTAAAACAAAAGTAAAAAAAAACTTACAGGATTGCCAGTGGTGGTAACAGGTAAAGTGAATATACCAGTATTAGGATCTAGATCTTCTCTAACATTCACTTCACTACCAGGAGGTGTAGTAAATCTTGGTGGTTGTACTCTGTTTACAGTAATATCAATTGTAGCTGTATCTTCTTTTGGTGGTTTACCATTATCAATAACTCTAGCTGTCAACTGTATAAACAAACAATGATAATGGATAAGTTTATGTAGATTATCAGATATCAGTGATTTCTATATGTGAAACTAGGTGTTTCATACCATAGATTATATACTTAGTGCAAACTAGTATTCAGCATATAAAATTTTGTGTCACTTTTTAAACTAGACTAAAACGGTTGAGTCTTATATCATTAAACAGCAAATTGGTGGTCATCAATTCTCATCTCAGTCAGTTGGGACTTGAATTACTCATTGGACCATGTTTTTTGCAGTCAACCCTGCTATACGTGAGTACAGATAAACTATCCTGTAAAATTTTTATTTGTCATCCCTTTAAATATTTTGCAGCAGAAAACAGATATGGTTAATCCAGAAAATACTAATTGGTTGGGTCATCACAAGGAATATTGTGCACTTTCCTGCCTGTAAGCAACTTCCCCCCAAAACAACGTGAGACTCACTCTGATGGTATTTCTATTGATGGTAGATAATGGTTTAATCAAATATAATTCACCAGTTGTTGGATTAATGGCAACATAATCTAAGCCATCTTGACCATCTCTATCAGATACCAGAGAATAAGTCAATTTGTCCTGCAATAACAAACATTCCAAATGTTCAACATAAATAACAAATATTCAATGTTTGATATCAATAACAAATATTAAAGTACAACTTTGACTACTTTGATTAATTCAAAATAAATTCAGAAAATTAAATAACAATAGAGGGAAATTTATGATAACAAATTTTGTAATCAATATTAAATGGAAACTATTGTGATTATTACAATAGAATAACAAATATTCAATTGATAAATTCAATTCCCATTGAAAAACAAACATTTTCATCACCATACTGTTTTTTTCTTTTGTTTTATTTTCAAGGAAGTAAATGGTTTAAAAGAAAATACAACTTACACCAGTGTCTGAATCTGAGGCATTAAGTTTTTCAAATCTTGTTCCTAAATTGAAGGTTTCTTCGACATTTGGTGTGTAAACCTCTGGGTTAAATTGAGGTTTTCCTGGATTACGTATAACATTAATGTTACATTGCAATACTGCACCCACATCTGCTACATTTCTACTGTATGCTCTGATTCTGACCTAGAATATCAAGGATGTTACTCTATAAATATACTTGATGAAATAGAGAAATGAGAACAGGTGGTACAAAATACCAGAACTGATCTATATTGTCAAAGCAGATAAGATTTTTTTCAAAACTTACAATGTATTGTTGTCGATATAAACCATCAGTTCTCAAGTCTTTAATGATAGAAAGTTGTCCTGAAGTTTCACCAACAGCGAAAAAAGTTTGAGCTGGATAATTTCCAATAATTTCATATACTATATCACCCTAAAACAAAAAATATTTCACCACATATTATCTCTACAAAATTCTATTCACAAAATTTCAAACCACTTTGCTTAGTTTAAAGATATATATTCATATTGAATATTTTAAAGAAGAATTCATAAAGAAATTCTAAAAAACTAACATTTTTCAAGCAATATCTTCCACAAAATTTTCTTGAAAATGAAATTTTTTCCTGTAGACCTTATTTAAAATTTAATGAAAAGGATAGAGAAATACTCCTTTAATTTTTACAATATATATGATGGTTGACCATGTTCAGGTTCAGGTATAACTACATCAGCATAGGATGTGTTCTGAAAGTTGATTTAGGTTAAAGCCTAAGATGTGTGATATTAGGCATGGAGCTAGAGCTACAGCTGTGTACTGAGGAAATTGATGCTAAATATTACCTGGTTATCCTGATCAGTAGCTACAACAGTCTGGAATACACTATTTAATGCTCTTGTTTCTAGAATACTAGGATTGCAATTTCCAGAAGTTGGGTTTACAAATTGTGGTGGAGATTGATCTTTTGTAATGTCCACTATTAGGTCTATTGAATTACGGTTACTGAGAACTGGTCTGTCTACAACTTCAATATTAACCTAAAATAGAATCATGTACAATGAATAAATACAACATTATAATAACAAATACAATACAGCAGAATAAAAGCAATAACAAATACATCACATGAAAATCCACAAATCCACTACACTAGAATAATAACAACTACAAATGGAAATTACTGTCTTGATTGTTAATTTTCTGAGTGGATCAAACGAAACATTAATTAATTAATTTTTATCATTTTAAAACTGCACTAAATATTGAAAAATGTCTTACCCTGAATTGAGTTTGAGGAATATTCAAAACTGATTTCTTTAAATAAACTTGACCAGTTTTTGGACTAATGAAGAAATATTCTAAAGCGTCAGCGGGTCCTGTTATACTATAGGTTAAATCAGTCTGAAAAATAAAAGGTACCAAATTAGCAATTACTATTATAATAAGTATATAATACATGAGTATAAGTACATGTAGTTAAACAGTCATCTAAACAAGGTAATCATGAAAGCATACAACAATCTGTAAACTGAAAATTTCAGTGAAAAATATCAAAAAATTCTGTGATATTTGGGATTCTACAGATAAGCAATGTCCGACTTCAACTTCAACTTACATCATCTGAGTCAGTAGCATTGACAGTATCTACAAGATACCCTAGAGGACTTCTTTCTTCAATTGACACCTGATATCTTGTTTTAACAAATCGAGGTTGACCTTCATTGATATTAGCAGTTATTGGGATATCGATAAAGCTTCTTCTTGATGGTACTCCTGTGTCATAGGCTGCAATACGGAGCTAAAAATAAAATAAATCAAATTTTCACAAAACAATTTTTTTTAGCTTGTATGAGAATTGGAAGGGAGTAACTCTTTGATGTGGTAATAAGCTAAATTGTACTATAACAATAGTGGAGTTCTTGTGAACCACTACCAAACTCATTGTTCTTGTTAATTTACATTTAGTCTCCAATAATTCAAATTTTACTCTGTGTATAAAATTAAAAATAAAAAGTATACATACCATCATATTTCTTTGAGGAGCATTACTAAGTGATTGTGATAAAGTTATGTCTCCAGTGTTTCGGTTGATAGTAAAATAACCTGTAGCAGGATAATTTCCCACTATTTCATAGTTGACATCACCCTACAATCAAACAGAATAAAACTTAAGTCAAAAATTTCATCTTTATTTTTTTCTCCATCTTGACATGCGCAAATATCCAAACTCTAATAGATTAAGACTTCATCATTGGTTACAATAGTTTGCAATGCAGTCTTAATAACAGTAGCCTATCATTTTGGATATTCTTGTATAAAAGCTTCATCCAAAATGGACATCCATATAATCCTTACCAATTTGTCTGTATCGACAGCATTAACAGATACAAGAGAAGATCCTGTTGCAGCTGTTTCACTGACTCTTTGTGACGTTACTGGACTAAACTGTGGCAGACGGTCAGGTATAATATTAATAGTCAATGGCACTGTTGCTTGATTAAATGGATATCTCTGGTCAGTAGCCACAAAAGTTAACTGGAAGAGAGAAACACAATAGCAGTGACAGAAATTTGTTATCCCCTACAAAGTATTCACATCATATGAAAAATTTCCCATAAAAAATGGCACGAAAGACACAAGAGACAATGATTGAATTTGTCTGAATTACACGGCATGAACCATGACTTTAAATTCTGTTTATACAGTAAAAAATACTTCTCATTATTGTAGGCCTGTTATGATGGAAATGAGATGATAAAATGATTCAAAAAATTAATGTCAAACTCAAATTACCTGATATGTACGTTGTTGAGATGCGTTGAATGTTCTTGTATGATAAACAGCTCCAGTGAAAGGATTGACATAGAATCGATTATCTCCTTGCAGACTATATCTCATTAGATCCTTAAAAAAACAAATTATTTACAAAAATTATAACATCTTTACATAGAAAATATTTTGTTCTAAATAAGTATTAATTTAGAGAAATCTCTATCAAATATTTCAACACCCAAGCTTTACATATTTCATTAGTTAACCACTGAAACCAGCTGACTAAATTATACATAGCCTATAGCCAATACATAACCTGAATTTTCAACACTGAGTGTCAGAAAATAGAATTTCTTAACCCTGCAACTTACATAATTTCAAGTTTAATTTCTGCACCTAATTAGGCTTATGAAGATGGGTAATGTTAAGCATTGTGCAATGAAGGAAATTTTGCCAGGACAGCAGTACTCAAGCCCTCAGTTTATTGTCCCATCCAAACGACTGGACACTTTCTTTTATGTCAGTCCCTTCCACCTATATCCCTAACAATGTTGAAGAGTTACAATCAATATTAAACTTAGTATACTTTACCTGATCACTGTCTGTGGCAATAATGGTGGTCAAAACATTTCCAACAGGTTCAAATTCATACACATTCTTTGAATATTGTGTTTGATTGAATCTTGGTATACTAGGATTACGAGCTACATAGATTATAACATCAACTTCTCCTGCATTTTCTGGGAACTTATCATCGTAAGCTTGTACCTTCATCTACAATAATAATACACACATACTGTATAATTGTGAATATAGTGCTCACAACTTTGTACTCAAATTACAAATAATTTATTATTATTTTAATTTCAAAGAGTACTACACATAATTCAAGATGGGTGATTATTACTCAACAAACTGCTCTAAAAATACTCAAATAGTCTATGAATTACTGTAATTAAACAGAGTTTTACACCTCACTTTTTGTCTCCAATTTGGTCAAGGGAGGTAATTTTGCCAGGAAAGGTGGCTTCACTTTATTTTTTTTCAATGACAAACTGTAGAAGGGTTCTTAACACAAACAGCCTGTAAGACAGTCACTTCAAACAACTACACACTTTATCCAAGTCAGCCCTGGACTAACATCCCTGACAGGTGGAAAACAGGTTGTAAATCTTAATCAATGCTAGCTTATATAAAAAGAAAATGGGAAAATGTCTTACGTCAAATCGAGAATAGGATGAATTCAATAAAGATGATCTGACACTTAAAGCTCCAGACTGACTAACAGTGAAATAAGCAAGTGCTAGAGAATT